TTGGTGTGGCCGGAAATGGCACCAGGGGTTTCTGCGTGTTCTCTGGGTGAAAGGAGGTCTGGAAGCAAAGCCATGTCATTCCCTCACAAGCTCAGCTAAGGGCCAGATGGGTCCTGTCCTCAAACTTGTCAGCAATTCTTCCCTCAGGAAAGCCAGTCTCCAGGGCCCCTGGGGTTGCTGGCACCTACAGGCGGTTCAAACAGGAACTGATCTGTCAATATTTGACCTTTAGAGACTGTGTTGTTTGTATACAGAACACGTTGCCATTTTTTCCTTCAGGGCTTCCAGCTCAACTTCCAATAACTATAAATAACAACAATAATCATGATGATGATGATAGTAAGCACTTAAGCACGTAACCATTGTCAGGCACTGTGTTCTTACCACTTTACACACATAATCTCACTTATTCCTTAGAACAACCCCATGAAGTAGCTGCTACTATGATTTTCATTTCACACATGAAGAAACTTCTTATGCAGGTTGCTATCCAAGTGGAAAGAAATTACATCCAGGGAGACTCCCAGCAGGAGGGAAGAAAATGTGTGCCCACCTGGCCTGGCCTTTTCTGCAGTTTCACTGTGCTTTCCTCAGGAAATCTCCACCTTTTGCTTCCAGAGAAGTCTGGGCTGTTCCCTGTCCCCCCCCCCTTTGGCGGGCTGGGGAGTTAGGGGAGGGGAGAGGAGGGAGCAGCAGGAGGGAAGGTGCAGAGAAGCTGTGATCTACTTACTAACTGGCTGGGTGGAGGCTGGTGCACCAAAGCCCCCTAGTGTCTGGCAGCCCAGAAATAGTGAAGAGCAAAGAAAGCCCTAACATCCAAGGCTATGGGGCTGCCCCAAATCCCAGGCAGGCTATCCTACTTGGCCCTTTAGGGGCAAGCAGAGACCTCTCAATTTGGGATGCTGTCATTGCTGAGATTCCTGAAAGGGGAAGAAGCACAAGAGACACGCCGAGTCCCAACACTCTTTCCCTCGAAGCCACCCAGGGCCTTGAGAAAGGTGGGTTGTGAAATGGTGAACACAGGGGTCTCCAGCTCCAGAGGCCTGGGCCTACCTCTTGCTGTACTCCCATCCCTCAAACAGACAGGCTCTGGTCAGGTGGGTCCCCCACCCGTGTCCGTGCCCTCTGCTCTGGCCTAGCTCACTCCCATCTCAACTGCTCTTGGAGCTGGAGGGGACAGGGTTGAATACACCTGCTCTCTGCCAAATGTTTGGGGAAAACTGTGAAGCGAGGAGGGAAGGGAGGAGGAGTTAGAGGGAGGGAGCTCCCTGAGACACCTAGTTTGTCAATATCCTTAGTGCCCAAAGCAGGAGGAACCTCAAGTGTAGTGGAGGGAGGGCTTTGAGATCAGACAGGCCTGTGTCTGGCAGCAGATCCCCCTTACTGGGGGACTGAGCAAATAAATGACTCAACTTTTCTAAGCCTGCATTTGTCTACCTCCACAGGGATGCTATAAAGACTGAATGTGAGGATGCTGGTCAAGGGCCTGGCCCAGGCCTGACCCGGAGACACAGAGAACACTTAATAAACACTACCTGCTATTATTTATGTCACTGCCTTCACCCAGCCTCTCTCCCACCCCAGCTGCTGCATCCTTTCTAAAACGCAAATGGGAACCCTCCAGGACTGGCCCAGCTATGGACTGAATGTTTGTGTTCCGCCCCTCCAATTTATGTGTTGAAATCCTAACCTCCAAGGTGATGGTATTAGGAGGTGGGGTCTTTGGGGGTAATTCTGTGCCTTTATAAGAGACCCCAGAGAGCTAGGTCACCCCTTCCACTATGCAACAACACAGTGAAAGGATGCTGTCTATGAGGAAGCGGGCCTTCACCAGACACCAATTCTGCTGGCAACATGATCTTGGACTTCACAGCCTCTAGAACTATGAGAAATAAATTTTTGTTGTTTATAAGCTACCTGACTATGGTATTTTGTAGTAGCAGCCTGAACAGACTAAGACAGAACTCCTCCTTAAAATCCTCAATGCTCTCCAGCAGCTTCAGTCCAAACCCTTTCTGGAGAGCCCCTTCCTCCCCCTACTGGCCTGTCCTTGCTGAGCTTCACCTCCCACCTGTGCCCTTCAAACTTCATGTGCTAACATGGAACTCGTATTAAATTTCACACACCTGGGCCTTCCTCAAGCTGTCCCCTCTGCCTGGAGCAGTGCTCCCCCACCAAAGGGTACTCCCAGAACTCCTGTTCATCTTCCCAGATGGAGGGCTCTCCTCCAGGGAGCCATCTCCGGTCCCTTAGGATCTCAGTTCCCCAGCATTCCAGACAGAGCCTCCCCTTAAGCCACACCTTTGCTCAAACAATTCCCATCACCTAGAATAACCCTTCCAGGCCCCCACTCCCTTAGCAAGTCCTAGGGTACCTTGGGGCCCAGTTCACTCGTCACCAAAAGCCTTCCTCCAGATCGTGCAGCTTCCCTTCACAGCTCAGGAACTTCACATGAATGACACAATCTAGCTTTTAGTTACACCTGACAACTTCGTTTTACTTGTTTGCCAAGTGTTAATCTTGTGTTGGGGAGAAAAAACTCCTCTACCTTTTGAGGTTCTTCTGGCTGGTCTAAAAATCAAATTGACATGAGGCAGAGTAGCAGGAGAAAAACAAAGTTTAATAACATGTGTATCTTCTGTATACATGGGAGAGACCCAGGAACCCTAAATAGCTGGCCAAAAAGGCCTAAGCTATCAGGTTAAGTACAACCTACAGCTAAAAACAAAAGATGTAGAGGGTGCAGTCGGTTATGGGAGGCTACAAGGAAAATCACAGTAAACAAGGGTAAGATTATTATGCAGATTTAAGTCCCTACCTTCTCCACTAGATAGTGAAGGCAAGCCTGGTACAGTAACGGAGACAGGTGCCCTTACAAATGTAAAAGTCCTTTATAAAGGGTAACTGAGCTAACTTATGCTGGCTTTTCAGAGCTTCAGCCTAAAATAACCAATATCCCAATGAGGCAAATTTTGGGATGGCAAACTCCGCTCCCCTTCACTTGTCTTCCCAACCAGATGACAAGTGTCTCAGAGGTTGATTTGGTTGCTTTCTCGAAGCACAGCCCAACGGTAAGTACACTGATCTTCAGTCCAAAGGGACCAGGCACCAAAAGCCACCCAGGAAAGTAATTAGCTGAAAACTGAGCTCTTGGCCTCACCCCAAAACACTGCACTTGATTCTCCCCTTGTGAAGGAAGAAGAAACACACATATCCTCTCTCTGCTCTCAGCCTCTAAAACATTCCTCACTAATCAGTATGTCAGCCCAGAAGTTTCTCCTCCCCCCCCCGGCAGTGATTCTCAGTCACCATATTAAAGTCCTTTTGCTAAACATTCTCCAACCTCAAATAACAATGGGTGGCCCATCTCCTCTCCTGGAAAGAACTCTCCCCTTCATTTCTTACCAACCTCCCAGTCTCTGGGCCTTCCTCTCAAACCCCATACCCAGCCTTCTGGCAGACTCTCCCAGTCCTGCAGCCTTCCCCAGTCTCTGTGTCTTACCTCCACCACAGTTATTCCTAATTCTACAAACCCAATGTCCCTCTCCAGTCCTCCTCTCAGTCCCCAGAGCAATGTAACCCTCCTCTGTTCTCCTCGGCTCTCTGGCAATCTTCTTCCTCTGTCCAGGACCTCAAACCCCTTCCCCTAACTCAACAAAGTCCCAGGGCCCAGAGTCCCTTCCCCAGTCCCTTTCAGCTCCTCTCTCACCACATTCAGCTTCTCCCTCCTCTGACTCTCCCAGACATCTCCCTCAAGCTCATACCCTGATTTCCACTGGCCCTCTCAGTACAGGTTCCAAACCTGTTTCCTTCCTGGAAGTGACACTGATGATAGCTTACACCTTTCAAGCTAACCATGTGCCACACTCAATTCTAAGCACTTACATGCACTCTTATTCACCACTAGTAGCAAACTTCTGAGGTGAATTTTACTAGCTATCCCCTTTTAGCAGGGAAATTACCTAACCTCATTTAAAAAGTGGCAGAGCCACACTTCAAACTCGGGCATTTGACACTCTTAAGCCACAAAGATTCCTCAAAGGATGGTCATCACTTTTATGAGCCAACATGAATTTTGTGTGAAATGCCCACCACACACGTTGCCAACCCAGCCCCTTTCAGACCCTCTTCTCAGCACACCATAGTCATCCTGCTCACACCGCCCGACCACTGCTCAGCCATCACACAGCAGGGCTTCTGCTCCTTTTGGTTTTCTCATCTCCCTCACTTCTCTCTTTCATCCTTCCATCTCCTAAACAAAGTCAGCATTACTCATACCCCCACCCCACTCTCCAGCCTCTCAGCCCAGACTCCAGCCTAATTTCATCACCCAGAATCCCTTTGCTCAGAGCTCACTTGAGTAAAAGGTCTCCCTACACTGGCCACTACTAACATACTCGCCCCAGGCACCTAACACACCTCACGCTTGAACTCATCACTCCCAGGATCCCGAGCCCAGACCCCCTCACCCCCATCATCCAGCGCTCATGCAAATCTACTGCCAGGGGCCTAGGAAAGGTCAATCGCTAGAGCAAGTGTCCTTGGCCCCAAGCCCCCTCTGGCCCGCCTGGGATACTTCAGATGGGCTCTCGTACGGTTCCCAGTCTTCTTGACCTGGCTGCTTGCTCAGGTTCCCTTAATCCCTTCAGGCCGGTGCCCTTCAAGGCTTCAAAGCACATGCTTTCGGTCCAAGTTTTCCTCCTGCCCCTTGGTCCGTCTTCATCCTCGGTCCCCTTCCAGCCTCATGATGTCGCCACGGCCTAGGTGTCCTCAGCCCAGAGCTCTTCCGCCATCTCAGTCTCTCCTCAAACCGTGTTGACACAGCTTGGGCCCCCTGGCCCTAAGACTATGTCCCCTCTCCTGCCTTAGACCACCGCACCTCGTCCGAAATCCCCTCCGTCCTCTAGGCTCCAGCCCTTGGTCCCTGTCCCGCCGCCTCAGGCCAAAACTCCTTCGTGCTCTCAGCCCAGCTCCCCGCCGATCCTCGGCGCGCTTCTTACCCAAAGAGGCCCGAGAAGAAGGACTGCGAGTTCTTCACTTTGCGGTCGGCCTCGGCCAGCAGCGCCATTGCCTCCGCTTCCTTCCCGGAGTTGTCCATAGCGGCAGCAGAGGTACTGGCAAACCGCCCGACCCGGACCCCTCGGAAGACTCAGCCAGGGCCGGGCCGCGGTGCACAGGTCAGAGGAGCTTAGCAGGCTGCGTTGACGTCGCACCCTCGCGCCGCCAGCTACCCAGAACCACGTGATTAGCGCTGGCCAACCAGAGGCCTCGTAGCGCGGCGCGCGCCCGCAAGCCACGCCCCCAAACCTAACGCGCCCCGCCCCGTGATTCACGGCCTCCAATCGGAGACCTGATGCTTCAACGCATGCGCATACACCTGCACAGGGGAACTCACTGTCTTCCGGTTACTCAGTACAACACCCCAGGCGATTCTGTATGAGCCAATCGTAGTCCCCACCGCTTCGAAGTGCAATCTTTCTGGGTCCTCCTCCACCAATCAGCAGCCCCTCTACTCGGCTTCTTCCCTCCCTACGGTCTCTAGTCAGCCGACCGATGACCCTCACGTGACAGCTCCCAGCCGCTGTCAGACGACACGTCCCTCCCACGCCCGGGTTTGACAGTTCTGCGCAAAACTCCGCCTCCGTTCCTTATCTGGAGTCCTCCTCTTTCACTTAGGAAGTAGGAAACTTTTCTTGCGCCCTCTGCCGAGGGACCCTGAAACTGACTTGGGAAGGCCAGTGAAGCGCTTGAGGGGAAACTAAACTGAGAGTAGACGTCCTTTAACTCTGGTTTCATTAAAAAAAATAAAGTTGGAGAGCGATACAAATTCAGATTCGAGCACACCTAGTACCCAGGTCGTAGTTTTTAATACCATTCTCCAATAAAAGGAACCAAGGCTCCTTGGATAAATGATTCTATCTTGCAGTGTCAGAAAGGAAGTGTGTGTGTGTGTCTCTCACACACAAAAGGGGTCTGTCAAAGAGACACAGGAGCCAACTGACAGAGCTCCCAATGGCCAAAGCTGGAACAATTTGAGCAACAAAGTAGTACTGGATTGTAACCCAATGTATAAAATATCTATGAGTCCATGCTGATACAAATGAATGGAAAATAATAGACAAATATTCGTGAAGAATTCCAAATAACTTATGTAGGTACTCTGCCCGCAAGGAGGCGGAGCATAACTCTTCACTCCTGAAGTATGGACTGAGCAGTGACTTCTTTCCACAGAGTACAATATGGGAAGAGGAGGGGACTAAGAGTACAGTGGAAAAGCCAGGTGATTGAGGTTAACATCAAACACTGTCAGTCAGGTGACTGAGGTTAACATCAACAGTGATAAATCACATCAAAAAGTATACACTCTTAATAAAATGTGATGAAAATGGCCCTTCACTTCTGTGGTCTTCCTTCCAGTCTAATCATGAGAAAAATATCAAACAAATCCCAGACCAGGACTCCTCAAAACTGTCCTCAAAAATAAGTCTAAGAACCCAGCCAGCATGACTCAGCAGTTGAGCCTAGGATCCAGGAGGTCGAAGTTTGATTCCAGGTCAGGGCACATGCCTCAGTTGCAGGCTGGATCCCCAGTAGGGGGCCTGCAGGAGGCAGCTGATCAATGACTCATCATTGATGTTTCTCTCTCTCTCTTTTAATTTTTTAAAATTAAAAAAAAAGTCTGAGAAACTGTCATAGCCACAAGGAGAATGACAAAGCATGACTACTAAAGTATTGTGGTGTCCCAGGTGGGATCCTGAAACAGAAGAGGGACATGAAGTATAAACTAAGGAAACAGGAACAAAGTAGGGTCTTTAGTTAATATATTGTAACAAATGTACCATACTAATGGAAGATGTTAATGGGGGAAAGTTGGTGTGAGTATATGGGAATTTTCTGTACTAGTTTCCCAATTTTTCTGTAAATCTAAAAACTATTCTAAGCAAGCATTTTTAGAAAAAAATTCAACTTCCAGGGCCCTATTCCAATAATTCCAATTCTGAAAGTCTTTGGCAGGGTACAGGAATCTGCATATATATTTTTTTACAGAACCCTTCCCCTCATCTGATAAGTAGAATGCAGATAATCCAGGGACCACTGGTTGAAAAAAACTGTTATCTAGGGGTTGGGTGGGG